TTGAATGTGAAACTGATGATGTGCCCTGTAAACTTTCACTCAATCCACAATAAAAACCTTAAATTAAAAAAAAAAAAGAGTGAAAGGGTTTAAAGACAGAGAGTAGAGAAGCACATTCTCAGAAAAGGACAAATGTGGTGGTGAAGGTGGCATTAGACAGAGACAGCTAGAAAAGCGGCCTGAGAGAAACAGGTGAGGTAGCAACATGGAAGTGGGTTCTCATCCTGCTCATGCTGACCATCTATACAACTTAACATTCTGGTAAACCTAATTTTAATACAGAAAAGAAATGCTTCATTGCTTTTGTGTTAGCAGCTGAGTGACACCCATTTATCTATAAGATTTTGTGGTGACATAAACTCTAGAATGTTCAGCGGTTCAAATCCACCAGCTGCTCCTCGGAAACCCTATACAGGGTCGCTATGAGTTGGAATTGACTTGAAGGCATTTAACATTAACAACAAGCAATCGCTAATCAACCAAACCAGATGTCTACAGAGAAATTCTAGATTCAATGACTTCATGTTTAGTGTCAAATGAGTAGTCATATTATACACACAACATGATACAGAAAACATCGGCTTAGTAGCCAGAAAAAGCAGGATTCAAATCATTGTGATATCACTTACTATGTGGGACACTTGCTCTCTTTCAATTTTGGTTTCCAAATACCTAAAATGCAAAAAACATGGGTAAACAATAAAAATAATAACATGCACATAAATGCATACCTTGTATTGACTTTTAAAGGTTAAGTAAGACAATGAGTGTAAATCCCCTCACACATAGTTGATTTCTGTGACTGAATGAATAAGTGTATATTTGTAATGAAGTTGTTTTGTACAGCACAATCCATGGTTCGTCAATGACATGATTCATTCTAGATCAGTGAGAAACGTCATCACACAACAGTGATGTATTAAGAGAAATTTATGTCTTTCTGTGCACAGAAGATGTGAAAATTGACAGCTTGGCACATCCGTCTTTGACGTGACACCTAGTTAACAATGCTGTGCTATATGAACCCTGGTGTGACTCGAGGATAAGCAGTGGACTGAAAACCACAAGGTCGGCAGTTCAAGCCCCATACAGGGTCTCTGTGAGTTGGCACTGACTTGATGGCACACAACAACAGTACTCCAAACCATGTCTCCAAGAGGCCCCAAAGTCTCCTGTTGGTTTCATTCCCTGGTCATAGTAGCTGGGGCATTCAGTTGCTATCAGTCGTTCATGTTGATTGTAAATCTTTTAAATAATTAATTGAAAAGAATTTAAAATCATATTTAAAAAATTAATTTAATGGGAATGATTTTGTCAGATCTTCCCCCTCTGTGAAAGTAAAGAGGAAGCCACTGAGGCACAGGGGATGGGCTGGGCACAAAGGGAAGGCATCTACATACCCACAGAAACCAGCCACAGAGCTAGGTCCTGCGTGCCTGCCGTGAGAAAGTGGGCAGCAGAAGAAGGAAAACGTGCCCAGGAAGGAGGTCTTGACGTATGTCCAAGTTTTCCTTTTTGTCTTTGGCTGGCTTGAGTGCCATGACTCCTGGCACATTTAGTTTAGGCCCTTATCTCTATGAAATGTCACCCAAATACCTTCTTATGGCTAGCGTCATTTCACAAAGCAGAATCTTGTAAGATGAGAAAGTGAGGCTCAAATGGTTTCATCAGGGGGCTGAAGGAAATCTGAGAACAGTAAGGTTTTACTTTCCAAAAAAACCGTTGTTGTCAAGTGCCGTCAAGTCAGTTCCAACTCATAGCGACCCTGTAAAGAGTTTCCAAGGAGTGGCTGGTGAGCTTGAACCACCGACCTTGTGGTTCAAAGCGACGTTGTAGTCCAGAGCATTAACCTGCAGTACCACAAAAAATAGAGCAGGAAAAAATAAATAAATCATGAGATGAACAGTACAAGGCATTTTATAAAGAAAACCCTAAACTTGAGTACATATTGCAGTTGGTTTGATTAACTTCATCCCTTTAATATGTTTCTTAGTACTATTTATTATTGCTCCCTATCTATTATTCCTCACTCAGGACCATTATTATTTACACTCCCCTTTCATATGAGAAATTCAAGGTATAAGGTGCCTTTCTCTGGTTTGGAGACTTTTTTTTTCTGCTTACTGTTCTGATTTTCCTTATCCTACATATGACATATCTTTCAGAAACTTCAAGTTCTAGAGGAAAAAATTGATTTCACATTTCCTATAACATTATGGTGAGTGTTGGAAAAATGATTTTCCTTGACAGGAAAAGAAAGCAAGAGGTATATTAATGGGGTATTAGAAATAATGTGATTTGTACCAAGATAAGTTGACTAGAAATGATAGGAAGATTGCAATGTGTTTTGTTCAACTATTTGTACTCAGGACTGGGTGCTTAATAGCTGTCTGCTTGAGGTTTGGTGGTGGTTATGTGCTGTGGAGTTGGTTCCAACTCACAGTGACCCTGTACAGGGTTTCTGAGGCTGTAAATCTTTACAGGAGCAGAAAGCCTCATCTTTCTCTCGTGGAACAGCTGGTAGTTTCAAACTGCTGACCATGAGGTTAGCAGCCCAAGTCGTAACAACTACACTACCAGAGCTGCTTGAGGTTTATTGGATATTAATTTATAAAAGAAAAGATTTATTTACAAATAACAACAAAACAAACCACATGGTCCTAAGCCCTAGGGAGTGCTGAAATCGTTTTCCATATCACTGCCAGAGTAGCGTCCATACTTGAGCACACACCTGTCTCTTGGATGACCCTGATGACTCACCTCTGTGCAGATTTCCTGATAAATATCTAGTCAATATCAGCACAACAGTAACAACTCCAGCCTGCAAAGGTCTTCACTGGAGTATGCTTACCCGAGACTGGCAACTCTGGTTTTCCTGTCAAACAGGGGCCCAGAAAAACACAATGTCACCCCTGGCTGGAACAAATGGCTAAGTGCTCGGTTACAAATTGAAAAGTTGGAAGCTTGAAGTCACCCAGAATCCCCTCAAAAGAAAAGCCTGGTGATTCACATCTGAAAAATCAGTCCTTGAACACCTTGTTGTCCTTAAACAACAACAACAACAAACACCTTGTGGAACATAAGTCTGCTCTGATTCCCTGAGTCAGAATCTACCCAGCAGCAACTGGTTTGGGTTCATTTTCCAAGCAGAGAAGAAATTATTTGTTCTATTACATGTGGTTTTGGGGAGGAAAATGTTACTCAATATCAGAATATTTCTCTTAGAGCGGATTCTGAGGGTTCCTGGTAGAGGAGGTGGTGGTGGTTATGTGCTGTGGAGTCGGTTCCGACTCATAGCAACCCTGTACAGGGTTTCTGAGGCTGTAAATCTTTACAGGAGTAGAAAGCTTCTTATTTCTCCTATGGAACAGCTTGACCAAGTATCTCCTGTGAGATGCGCCCTTCCGGCGCACCAGTCAGGTGTTTGTGCTGGTCAATCTCCTGTCTCCTGAGGTTTGTAACCCGATTCATAACCACTAAACTACCCATATTATTTGAGAAACCTGAGAAAATTCTTTTGTACCAGTTTCACTTTCAGACTTTCCATGCACTGAGTTTTCTGCTGCTGAGGCTGTTCTTTGGATTCATATTCTGAGACTGTTTCCTTGAAAACTGAGGCAGCCTATACAGACTCATTGGAGAAGCCACCACTGTCTGGTAACTAGTGCAGTCAGGGGACATGGTAATGGGGAGAGAGATCTCATGGTGGCCAAACTCAACCGCCTTGGTTGTTTTGCCTTTTCTTAGACTTGTCTAGTCTACATCATAGTTAATGTAAAAGAGAAAGTAGAGAAAGAACAGTTTCACCTTTCAAAATCTGTATGAGCAAATGGTCTTTGGATTTCTCACTGACATTCTAGGGCGTATCTCTCCATGTTAATTGTGACAGTAAAACCATTAAAAAGGAGATTTAATTTTAACTCATGTTGGTCACTATAGGGCAGTGAGTAAAGATTATGGGCTGGAGAAATATTAATCAAGGTTGGTTATTTAATATCTGCTTTATTTTAAGGAGGTCACTATTGAAGACACCTGCTCTGGACAATGAAACTCCTCAGCTATATTTTCATTTATCGCCGATTTCTTCTAATAGTCTTTACCCTGTTGATTTTCCTGCCCCTGCCTATTACTCTCGGTACAAAGGTAAGTGAACCTGGAAAATAGGCTGGTGAATTTCCTGATTCATTTCAATGGCCCTTTATTGTTGGGGTTTAATTGTCTGGCTAAGCTGAATGGTTGGTGTTCCTTTGTGCTTGAAGTCTAGATGGTTGTTAATTGTGTCTTGTCCATTTTTCTCCTTTTTTAATGGTTAATGTTGATTGATCCTCAGCATGACTAGCTAGAATAAATAGCTAAAATATTCTATCAGAACTGTTTGAGTAGACCAGGGGAGGAATGAAAGAAATTTGGGATCTTTGTGTTCAAATCATCAAACTCCAGGGAATATCCTGGGTTAGTCTAATTCCTTCTCCTGAGAATATGTTACTAGGGAAAGAGTCAGAGGAACAACTGGGGTCCTAGGGTCTAGCACAGATTAATTAATTTGTCGGTTTTGTGGCTCAGTGTGGGATCAGAGCCTCTTGGAAATTGCACTTTCTCTAAGAGTTTCTGTGTGATGCAAACTTTAGTGTTCAACTATTAGCTGAAAGGTTGTCAGTTGAAACCCTCCCAGAGGCACTGCAGAAGAAAGCCCTGGTGATTTTTCCAAAGGTCACAGCCTTGAAAACTCTTCAGCAAGTTCACTCTGCACACTTGGGATCACTGTGAGTCAGAATCAACACCACAGCCATTGACAACAGCAATATAAGATAAGAAGATACTGACAACATGAAGCAATTCTCCTTGGTTCATCAGGAAATCTAATAAATCACTGTGCTGTATTCCAGTCATTTCAGATTTCATTTCATTTTGGCCTATTTGTAAGCACGTGTCTATTTGCTTTTAAATGTAGTCAGTCCATCAAGCCCAGAATAGCAACCATAACACATTTTTTTTACCCTTGATGAATTAATTTGAGCCAACAAACATTTAGTGAGCACTTTCTCTGTATGAGGCAGAGCAGAAGGTACAAGAGGAAACAAGAAACAAACAAACAAAAACAGAGGGTCAAGGGGTAAGCACAAAGCCCAGTCTCTGCTGCAAGGTTCTAGATTTACCGCTTAGAAGCTGTGTGACCTGGACAAGTTACTTAACCCCTTTAGTTTTCTTATATGTAACCTAGGATAGTAATGGATTTGCTGTGAGAATTAAGTGAATGAATAAACACGTATCAGCCACTTGAAATAGTCCCAGGCACAAGGTAAGCTTTAAAATCTGAGTCTCCCCAGGTGTGTTGACAGCTGGTGCAATTTCCATCATCCCTGGAGACCTTTTCTCTTACTGAAAGAGAGCCATGTTGGTGTTTTTGTTAAGTGCCATTGAGTCGGTTCTGACTCATAGCAACCCATATAGGGTTTCTGAGGAGCAGCTGGTGGGCTTGATTTGCTGACCTTGAGGCTTATCCTATAGCACCACACTATTAATTCAGACTATATCTATCAGTTTAAGGAGCCCTGATAGTATAGGTCAATTTCATCAAATTGTAGCAATTTACATTCATTTCCTTTATCAAAAATAGTTTTCTTTTTCTTTTTTATATCTTCCTCTAGTTGAGTTCTGATTATCAAGCCATCGAGGCTAGGTCAAATGGGTATTATCTGTAAGTTTGGGTGTTCTTGTGCATCTCCCTTACTTCATATCAGCTGGATGCTTCACTCTTAGTTCTAGCCCTCTGTGGCTATGTCTTTGTCCATGGGCTCAGGTGTCTCAAGGTCTCACCACACTTCAGACCAACTAGCCCTTCCTCTTCTCTCTCTCATCTCCAGGTCAATGGGAGTCTATGTGGAACGTGGATGAACTCAGCCCATTTCTTCCTTGCTGCTTTCCCCCTCTTCCACTCCCCAATAGACCAACATGGTTGCCAGCAAGATTACATGCCTGCTCATGTGTTCCCTTTGAATTTT